ATAATGAATGTAAAAAGACCGACTTCCCTGTTTTAACTAGAGGAAGACCAGCATGCAGAGTCCACAAGGAGAATTTACTGAATAGGAAAGAAATTGAAATGTGTGTGTTCTTCACTGAAGTTGAGTTACAGCATTATACTCATTATGGAACAGCAATACCCTGCAGCAAGAGAAAAGACATGGCTTAACTGTGTTGTCTTCCTGTTGGTTTGTGGCTGTAATGTATATTTTATACACACCAAGAAATGTATGCTTGTGTAAACATGGGTATTTTGGAAAGGAAGCCATGTGTCTGAGGTAGTGGGCAGATTAATACAATACACACTCACTACTCATAGCTAATTAGATAAAGAATAGCATTTCTGAGAGATGCCAGTGTCTTCCTTTATACATGTCGACTGACAATCCACCTGGTTGTCACAGTTGGGTCACAATGGCAATACAGGAAATTCTGGCTGCTGTTGCTGTGTTTCTGGAGACGGTCTCTGCAGCCTCTGGGAGTAACACATACGTCCCATGTAACTTTTTAGTATTTCTAAAATTCTGTTCAATATGTTGGAAAACATTAAAGTTTTTCACCACTTCAGCTCCTATTTTTAATTAAATGTAACTCGGGGTAGTGTACAGAGAGGGAGGCATGGTGCAGGGTGAAAACATCCATCTCAGCTTCCACCGTTACACCTTCAAGGGGATTCCCTTTGCTGATCTCACTGGAAGGTTTGAGAATAAAACCTTTTCAGTCTATTAAAGTAAAGTTGAATAGTCAAGGGCAGAATTAGAAGGTGGGAGTTATGGCTATGATCAAAGATAAGAGCCTGGTAATAAAAGCTTCATCATGCCATTGATTCAGAATCTGCACTACTGGGCAAGTCGATCAACTAATCTCTGATTATGGGTAAGATGAAATAAAATAAATATATTAATTAAGTCATCACAAAAACTCCTGTCTTCGAGGGGCCATATATAGTAGCATGCCATATTGAAGGAAAAATGTCGATATTTTTAAAATGTAAAAATACTTGGCCACAACAATGCAAAAAGTTATTTTTGTTCAACTTTAATAACAGATTGAACAGGTACGACAAGTTAACCACAAATACAAAAATATTGCTTGATAGCCTAATCCAAGTCGAACAGAACTCAGAAAATATGTTATTTTATATGGGAATATCTGGAACTGGGTTGGGAGATAAGTACACAACTGGCACTTGACCAA